TCTCTCTTTACTTTTTCTTTTTCCTCCACCAGCTTATTGGGTGCATCATCGGCCGCCAGGGAGCCAAGATCAACGAGATCAGGCAAATGTCAGGTGCCCAGATCAAGATTGCAAATCCAGTGGACGGATCGACCGACCGCCAGGTTACCATCACGGGCTCGCCCGCCAGCATTAGTCTGGCGGAGTACCTCATCAACGCCAGGTGAGATAATAAAGAAAAGAACTTTTAACTCCAGATGGGTAATCGATTCAGTCATGGGCTTAGTTTCAGTATAAGTCGACTTATTTGTCTGCACCGGGGTGGTTTACTTGAAATCGCAGGGGCTAGATGGGCGTGCCTGAAAGATTATTTTCTGTTTAAATGTAATCTTTCAGCACGTTTCACTCCACTAATGCTGCACAGCTGCAGTAATCCATGAACTGAACAGCTTTATTTACTTTGTCGCACAGATAGCTCGACTGCATCCACCCTTAGTCTTTGTTTTTATGTGCAGATGATTGATTGTAGTGATTACTGGCTTTTCTTTTAACTCCTGCTAACCATCACTGTGGCGTTTGCTAGCTCTCTGTCAGTCTGCTCTTGTGTCTGTCCTCCCACACTGATCCATCACTAGATATGTTGTTTATTTTTCCTTGCTGATTTGTAACTGATGCTTTCTGTCTCGTGTTTTGGTCACATCCCTGAGTGATTTTCCCCCTACACCCTACCCCCATCCCTCCTCCTGCCCCTACCCCCCCACCCATTGCTCACCAGCCTGCCCTGTGACCCATCCCGACTGTGTTGTCCCTCTCTCCTTGTCTCTCTTTCTACAGTGTAGAGTCCTCTAAACCTCCTCCCTCCTCCTCCTTGAACCCTGAACAGACCAGCCTGTGCCCTCCCTCCACCTCTACTACTACTACTACTACCACCACTACTACTACTACCACCACCACCTCCTCTGCTGCTACCTCCTCCTTCTCTTCTTCCTCCTCCTCCTCTTCCTCCTGTGTGGTGCCCCCCACAGCCTCCATCCCTCTGTCCTTGTTGGCTCCAGGGCCGCCTCCTCCCTCCTCCTCTTCCTCCTCCTCTACCTCCTCCACCGATTCCCTGCTCCCCAGCTCTCCCGCCTGTGTGTCGAGTCTCCTCAGTCTCAAGCCCCTCCCTCTCCTGGCCCTCCATGTTGTCAGCGGGGCCAGTAACCCCGCCCACCCAATTCCCACCGAGCCCAAAATTGCCTCAGAGCTGGGCTCCAAGTCTAAAAGGCGAAGGCTCTCCCCTTACTAACCGAGGAAACATAAGTCATCTACTACTGAAGTACCGACAATGCTCCTTATTGTCCGTACCTGCACTTGCTTTTGTATCTGGCTGTGCCATGCCACGCTTACTACCGAACAGCCCATTGTTACAAAGCCCGAAAGATGGTCGACGACGCCATATTTCTAAAGATAGATAATCTGTAGCTTGACTTCACTCGTCTGCTAAAGAAACGACATGTTGAGTGCATTATATTTTTGAACAACTTTGAACTTAGCATGGACAGGGAATTATTTCACTGATTAACTGAAGCATTTCTCTCTTTGTGTAAGCTCTGCTCAGGTAGCGGCTCTCTTTAAGATGTCACATTGTATTTATGAGAAGTTTTCTTGTAGTGAATTTTAAGTGACTGTTGTTAGCTGTTGTAATGGATTGCATCTTGATGACTTTATTATTATTATTATTTTTGCTTATGTAAGAAGAAATTAATTCAAAGTACCCTCAGGTATCAAAGCCACCAAATCATCCTTTTGTCATGTTGGTACAAATACAAAAACGTCCATCTTTAGCTTAAAGCGGCTGATTTAGCAAATCATGAAAGGAATAATTTGATCTTTTAGGGAATATCTGGTCACCTTCTTGCAAAGAGTTGGATGAGAAGACCTCTAGCCCTCTCATTAATCTTGTATGAAGCAAACTCTGTAGCCAAGAGTTCCTTAGGCTATTTTATCTTATGGTAGAAATGACAAGCCCGACTCTACATAAACTGGTTTTTAAGAAAGGGAATTCACTAATATGTAAATATTAGTTTCATAGCTGTGATATTTGCAGACGAGGTGAGCACTGTGCAGTCATGAAGACGTGTAGTGAAGGTAGATGAGTTTAAATACCCGGGGTCGTCCATCCAAAGCAACAGACGAGGGAGGTGAAGAAGAGAGAGCAGGCGGGGTGGAGATGAGTGACGAAAGAATAGCAGCAAGCGTGAAAGCGAAGGGTTAGAAGGTGGCAGTGAGGCCTGCTGCGATGTATGGTTTGGAGATGTTGAAGATGGAGCTGCCATCAAAAGAGGGAGACTCCAACGAGGATTCATGGATGTAGTGAAGGATGACATGCAGAGGCGGTGAGGATCCCAGGGATAGGGTAAGATGGAGGCAGATGGTCGATTGCATCCGAAAGAAGACTTTAGCTTCGTAACGTGAAGCGTCACTGCTTTCCTTTGTCACACAGAGCTGTAAACGAGTCGCTTCGGGTTTTAGAACAATAAGGCATTAGGCGGTCTTTGATCTCGTCGGCTAGTCTGCAGACTCGGTCTTCGGGGGCAGCCGCAAATTATTCAGGGCTTCCGCTGTAGCCACATGGGCCAGATAGCAGATAAGTTATCCGGTTCAGCATTTCCAGTTCTGTGCCTGGAATTGTTTACAAATGCAGATGCATTTTTGACTCCAGGCCTCGAGGGCCGGTGTCCTGCAGGTTTTAGATGTGTCCTTGATCCATCACAGCTGATTTAAATTGCTAAATTTTCTCCTCAGTATTTCTTTAAGTTCTCCAAATGCCTGGTAATCAACTAATCATTTGACATTTTGACCTGCAGGACACCGGCTGTAAGGCCTGGAGTTGACCTGAAGTTGAATTGGCTGTTTACATTACACTTTAGGAAAAGCAGTCCTCCTTTTTCTCTTCATAGAGACTATTTACATGCATCCACAGCCTGCGCAGAGTTTGTTTGGCTTGTGAAACGTGGGTTATGAGGGCATCTGGGTTTTCAGATAGTGCCCTTCATATATTCTTCACTGCGATGTGGTGGTTGCAGAGAGTCGGGCTTGCGGTTTCCTCTCGGTTGCAGTTTTTGTGCTGTGCAGAGTTTCATTTAACCTAGAAGGGCCGTATCAAGTGGCACCAGAGTGAATCATCTCATCCAACTCTTGACCAGTTCTTTAACGCGGCTCCATTTGCAAACCAGTGAGTTTGATCAGCTGTTGGTTAAGAGACCCTCTCACTGGCAGCAGGAGCTCAAACTGAACATCGAATTTTTGTTTTTCTACGTTTAATCATAATTTTCCTGCTAAACGAATCCAGATTTTATCATAGTAATATATATAAATGTACATAATGATATTGTTGTTTATCTTGTCTGTCTGATTGCATGCCTTACTCTCTCCCTCCCTGCTCTCTGGGTGTCTCTGTCTGTTTCTCCAGGCTTTCCTCTGAGGCCACTGGACTGGCAGCCAACTGATAAGACACTGCATCTGCACTAAATCTCACTTTTATATCATCGGCTATGATTAAGCAGTCAATGCAACTATCCAAGTTAAGAGTTTATATATTATACTGCCTCTTCCTCATTTAAAAAAAATAACAAAAGCAAAAAAAATTATGTCAACCGCCACTGATTTGATCCGCTGAGTTCGTTATTTATTTTCTTTGTTTTGGTTTTAGTCATACGAAGCAAATGATTAGGTTTTAAATTCCCTTTTTGGAGTCCAGTCAGAGGTTTTAATGATTTGTTGTTTAGGCGTTTTTTCTTTTCTTGATGGATATCTCGCTCTTTCCATTTCTTTCTTTGCCATCACAGAGACATGAGTTGGAAAAACTCTGAATAGACATAGATTTAGTTCTGTACAGTCAGCTTTTTTTTTTTCTTTAAAAAGGAAAAGACAAAAAAGGAAAAATAAAAAAGTATCAAAAATAAGAATAGAGTGACTGTTTTATTCTGTTTATATACGCCCCACTCCTTTTTTTTTTTTCTCCTCCCCTCTCTGAGAGCCGCCTGTCAGTTTGTCCATTTAATACTTGTACTTACTTGCTTCAAATATACACAGCATCCTCCCCCTTTGTCACCGTTTCAATTGAAGTGCTCGTAACATGGATTGCACTTGTGTCACTGACGAGAACACGTAGCTGTACATGCACCGTCACAAAATTATATTTGGTTATTTAGTAAATGTTCTAACACTCAGATGAATTTATCCAGATAATTTAAAAGTGTGTACGCATGTCACGTTTATCCCTTTACATGTCATTCCTAAACCTTCCCGCTACTGTCCTGAGATCATGTGTTGATATTTTGCTGGGATGGGAGGTTTTGTTTTGTTTTTTGGGGATTTTGGGTCGGCTTTAGGGATCGAAAGCAGAGGGTTCCCCTCGCTTTTTTTTGTAAAGACTGATTATATACTAAAAGTTGAAATATTTGTTTTAAATGGAGGAAATATTTTTTTTCTTAACTACCAAAGTAGGGTGGTGGGAGGGGGGAGGGGGGGTGAACTCCTGGACACTGATCTGTTAAATGTAATGAGGCTAAGAAGTGAAATCACTGATGCTCTGGAAGTAGAAAGGGTTGTGAGTTAACACTAGTTTCCTGCTCTTTGCTCTGCTCAAGAATTTATTTTTTATTTGCAGGAAAGGAAAAACTTTTGTGCACGTTTATTTTTCTTTTCCTTTGAGACTGTAGACCTGGGTGCCACGTTGTTTAAAAAGAATACAGAAATAAAGATGTGAAATGCTTAAACCACAAACCCTCTCGCGAGTTTTGTCACCGTGTGAAAGGAGAGTGAAACCACACGTTTGGTTTACAAGTTTGAATTTATTTTTAACGGCATTTCATTTTGTTTCTTTTTTTAAATATAGTTACGATAATGCAGTATAAAAAGCCAACATTTAACAGGGTTGCTTTCGGTGAGCATCATGAGTACCTCCACGATTGGACAATAGAGGGCAGTAGTCTTGCTTTTTGGCAACATTTTAATCCTGCAGGAGGATTTCTAGCTTCAAACCTTGGGGGGGCCACAATCTGTAAAATCTTTCTACAAATATAAACTGCAAAAGATAACCTGTCTCTTTCTTTCTTTGATGAACAAAATAAGCTGCCTTTTTGTAGTTTTAGCTTATAGAGTGTGACCTGATCAGTCGTGGATTCGTGGAGTAACGTGATGTGCTGTTGTACGGTCAGATTCAGGCGCACATTAGGGACATTTGCCAAGGAGAACAAACACAAACAAGGGTTTTAGGTGTCACAGTTTATGACGCAGCCCTTACAAGAGTGAAAAATAACCAGTGGATGGCGAAGTTTTCAGCCGGCGAGGCCAAATTAAGTAGGCGTGAAAATGGCAACGTCTGGGTCCAAAATGTTCACATTTAAAGAGATAAATGATGTTGAGATGAATCAGTTACTGGACACAAACGGGTTTTTGCATAAATGATTTTCGGCGTCTAAAATTACCAGGCTGTAGGATCTGTATTGGCGTTTCTTGTGCCTTCAGTTACTCGGCACTGGAGGGTAGAAATCTCTGCAGATGTTCTCATGTTGGAGCCGAGACACAGAGACGGCGTTTGACTTCAGTAAGGTGTCCCTACTATTTCACTCGCATGCTTTTTCTCAACGCTATAAACGGGGGAATATGTTTTAAAATGACCTTGCATTTTTAAATACAGTAAACACGTGCGATAAGTATTTTTTTTAAAAAGCTCATCTGTCCTAAAAGAACCCGGCTGTGAGACCAGAGCAGACATATTGCTTTTTCCTTGTTCACATGTTTGTTCCTCCTCTTCCTGTTCGGATGCTCGGACACGAACAGCAGCTACAGTACATTCTACTACCGAGAGCTTCAAATAAAATAGTTCCACCTAATTAGAAACATCAGCACCTTAAATTATACAATCTCACATTTTAAAAATTTGTTCATTTTACATCCCATATTTACACCGATATTAAAACCAGAAGTAGAAAATGGAAACGTAATCTATGACACGATTTATAAATAATGTAAACGACACAAAAAGATGTAAACATTGTTTTCTTTCTAATAAATTAAACAGTGCATACGTTGTTTTTTTTCCAAAGACAAAAAGTCTTAAATTAGATTTCATAAATTATAAGTAAAAGGAGCGACACTGGTCGTCTCCAGTGATCGTGACGTTTAAATAGTTTCATGATCATTTTCATTAGGATAAAAATAAAAACAGACGTGAATTATGACGGAGGACACGAAAACAATATGACAACAGACGGTGCAGACGTCGCCTCTTTGATCGAAGCTTGTGTCGCTGAGGTGTCATTTGATGTGATTTCAGAGAACAAAAGGTGCCGTCAGCTCGGATAGTGCCCCGATTCACTTTCACATCGCCGTGCTGCATTCATCTCCAAAGGAAATGCGACTTTCCTTTTTTTTTTTTGTTTCCTTAACCAGGATATGTGGTTAAGAACACATTGCTCAATTTCCCGCCTCTCTGCGATGTCCCTGATAATGACTCAGAGTTTCTAAGAGTGAAGGAGGTATTGAGAGGCCAGGTCTGCAGGTGGTGCAGTGGGTTAGAGGTGTCCGGTTTTCACCAGTTGGTTGGAGGTTGACTGGGGTCTGCAGTGCACGAATGGTCCAGTTCTGCACTGTCACAGTCGGAGTCATCATACAGGCCCTGGTTTGGAGGAAAATCAGGAGTCAGACAATGAACAGATTATAGAAAGATTATTTATCATCTCCTTGCCAGAAAAGATGTCAGATATCAGACCTCTATACCACATTTCACTCTTTCACTCTGCCTTACCTCATAATTGGGGTCATTTGAGGCGAGCTGCGTCTTGACTTGTTGCAGAATGGCTTCTTTTTCAGACAGACCGTCGGAGCCCAGCTGAGTCGGGTCAGACGGGTCAGCAGGAATCTCCGAGCCCTGAGACAGCAGGTCGTCGCTCTTGTCGTCCAGTCGCTCGTCTGTGTTGGTGCTGACCACGTCGGGCGTACCGCTGTGGGAGTGGTCAGTAGTGTTGCCCTCCTCACCGTCCGACACCGATAGGTTCTCCGAGCTAAAGGTCGACAGGGACTGGCATTTGGTGATGCTCACAGGCCGCCTGGAAGGGTACGCAATATGAGAATACGCATTTTAATGAAAATCTGCAAGTATACAGATATTGATACACAACAAGCGGCGGTATGAAAATGCACTAAGTACCGTCTCCTCGGCAACTCCACTTCACTGTCCACTTCTCCTTCCTCCTCCTCTGATGACAGTCCACGTCTCTGTGGCGAAAAAGCATTTTCCAATTTTTTACTTTTTGCTAAGGTTTGAGTTTTTTGTGTTTATCTAAATGAGTTGCACCTAATGGAAAGAAGGACGTTGCGGTCATTAATGAATATATCTAATCAGCCAATCCCATGGCAGCAGCTCAGGGCATTCGGGCCTGTCCAGATTACTTGCCGAAGTTCAAACAGCATCATGTGACTTAAGTGACATGGTTGTTGGTGCCACACGGGTTGATCTAAGTATTTCAGAAACTGCTGATTTACAGCGATTTTCCTGCACAACCATCTGTCTGCTTCAACCTGATAGGAAGGCAACAGTATCTCAAATATCCACTTGTTACAACCAAGCCATGCAGAAGAGCATCTCTGAATGCACACCACATCAATCCTGGAAGCAGAAGACCACACCACGTGCTAACTCCTGTCCACTGAGATCAGGAAACTGAGGCTATAATTTGCACACATTCACCAAAAATGCTCCCACGCCTCAATTTCTGCTGCAATATTTGGACGGTAATGTCAGAATTTAGTGTAAACAACATGAAAGCTTGGATTCATCCCATCTTTACTGATCAAGCAAAAGCAGGATGGGGTGGGAGATATTTTCTGGGCACATATTGGACCCCTTGCACCAACTGAACATCGTTTCAAACCCACAGCATACCCGAGTATTGTTCCTGATCATGACCACATCCTCTGATGGCTGATGGCAAGCTCACGCACCATGTCACAAAGCTCAAATCATCTCAAACTGTTTTTTTGGACATAACAATGAGTTTTACTGTACTTAAATGGGCTCCACAGTCACCAGATCTCAATCTAATAGGTGGTGAAAGGGGGGATTTGGGATGTGCAACTGATAAACCTGCAGTAATTGTGATGCTTTCATGTCAATATGGACCAAATCTCCGATCAGTGTTTGCAACACATTATTGAATGTATTGCAAAGGACAAAGAAACCTAATCCAAGACTAGTAAGATGTACCTAATAAAGTGTCCGGTGACTGTATTTTGAGCAAAGTAAGGGGAGATTTAAAAATTTAGAAATTTAAACCAACAGATATTAATGTGAAACCTCAAGTTTTTTCCCGATGTAGTGTTCATGTACATAAATTCTAGTTTTTGGTATTTAAACGCATCTCTTTGCATCACTCAGTAAATCAGAAAATACTATACAGTGGTCCCTTGTTTATCGTGGGAGTTACGTTCTTAAAATAACCCGCGATAAGTGAATTCCGCGAAGTAGCCAACTTTATATTTTTACAATTATAGATGTTTTAAGGCTGTAAAACCCCTCACGACACACTTTATACACTTTTCTCAAACAGGCATAAACATTTTCACGCTTTTCTCTCTTGTTTAAACACTTTTGTTGAGATCGTTGTGTTCGTTGGGAAGAAAACTTACAAACATGCAGTGCAGCACTTCAGACTCACACTGCTAGCAATATACGATTTATGTAAATTTGACAAGCTGAACGCATCCTGTACAGGAGGCATGGCACGGGATTGACAGTGGTCCAATCAGGATGCAGAATACAATGCAAAAAAAAAAAAAAGCATGAAAAATTGCACAAAAAAAAAAAAAAATTGGCGAAACAGCAAGACCGCGAAAGGTGACTCCTATGGTTATAATTCTGAATAGATTAAAGAGCCCTGGTGTACGTCTGTGCTGTTTAGGCTGAGATTTATGGCTCTGAGCTTAAAAAATTAAATATGTTGACACACAAGCTGTATTAAATCCTCACCTGACTGCGTGTGACTGCTGCCCTGTAGAGCAGTGCTGAAGGCGTAAGCCGTTGACTTCTGGGCGAGCGTGTAATCACCGTCCCTTCCTCCTTCTCCTCACCTTCGTGGGTGACGCGAGTGTTCCCGAGTGCGGACGCCCTGCCCGCCGCTGCTCCTCTGCCACAAGGGGAGTCAGGGCTACTGGAAAAAGGAATAGATGCCGCGTCTTCGCTTGGTGTATCGCTGCGTGGAGGCGTTCCTGCCAAGTCATCCCCGCCTACGCCCACGTCATTGCCCCGCTCTGGCCCATCGGTCCTTCTGCTCTCTTCCAGCCCAGCTGAGGCGCTCTGACTGCCCGCTCTGTCCAGCCCTGATCTCACCTGGCCTTTCCTCCTGCCCTCGACCTCCAGAGTGGTAGAAATAAGATCGGGGCTGGAGGAGGACATCTTTTTGAGTAGAAGGTCATGCTGTAAGCCCCTGAGGGCTGCGCTGGGGTCTAGATGGTGCTTGCTGGGAACAGACGAGGTTGCATTGATCATTGCTAAAGACGAGGACAGAGTGGCTTTCAGCTGAGCCAGGTCGCCACTGCTGCCTTTTCCAGCCTTTCTGTAGCGAGGTTTTCCTCGGCGTGAGCGGCCGGGGGAGGTAGAGCCCTTGTTGGGGATTGTGACCTGTGTCATGGACGAGTCCAGCTTAGGGAGGATGACCTCTGACTTTAGTAAGTCTGGCCTGGAAAGGACAAACACGGACGAATGTTATTAGCAAATTATTGCAATATAAACTACAGGACAAGACATCGTCCTTGTCGCCTCACCTCTTGCTGTGTGAGGGCAGTTTCTGAGGTACATTACGTTTCTTCATGAGCTTCTCCATGGAATTGGAGGAGGCTGACTGTCTGGTACTGTGGTGCTTGAAGCAGCCTGGGTACTTCTTGTCCAGTGACTGCTCCCTCCTAATGTTTAAACACAAAGTCAA